ACTAGTTTGTTGCAACAATTAAAGATAAAATAATTGATATTGGTAGCATAGCTAAAACAGTTGAAGCATTAAAAAAGTCAAAAAATCAGCCACCAGGTTTCGAATCCTTCGAGATAACCCGCGATGAATTGATTGATCCATTTATTGAAATGGTTAGTAATTTAAGAGGAAATAAACCGTATGTTAAAAAAAAATTTTATAAGAGTATAGAAGTTGCTTGCAAGTCTTTAGCTATTTCAACTGGCAAAATAGATGAGAAAGGACTTCGAATTCAACTTTCTATTTTGGAAAAACTTCGAGAATCATCGAACATTCTTCGTTTTTATGGGGTTTCAAATTTTGACAACACTCGAATATTAGTAAATGAATGGGCTGATTTAGGAACATTGAAAAACGTTTATGAAAACTATAAAATTGATTTTTATACAAAGATATTCATAGCTGCGGGAATCTGTAACGGATTAATGTATTTGCATTCTTATTTAATTCTTCATCGTGAGATTAGATGCGTAAATATATTGGTAAGTTTATCTGTTTAGCATTCTATATCAAATTAAATATTAATATGATAATGTTAATATGATACATAATAATCTTATAGATGTCGAAAGACCTTGCACCCAAAATCTCAAATTTTGAACAATCTCGTCTTTCAGGCACTTCCAATAAGAATATACTAAACGTTAAGGAAATAGTGCGATGGATGGCTCCTGAAATATTAAAACATGAACCATATACATTCAGCTGCGAAATTTTCAGGTAATATTTTAACTATAGTTTATTTTGAATGCTTAAAAATTATTTTCTTATAGGCGTTTATCGTTGTAGTTTTGGAATGCTTTTATGGGAATTAGCTTACGAGAAAATCCCTTACCAAGAACTAGATGCTCAAAAAATTTTAAATGTCGTTAAAGACGGAAAGAGAGAAAAATTAGATCCTTTACCCAATTTAGTGCGGGATACTAATTTAGAAAATGATGCTAAAAAACTATCTGAAGTCTATCAAGATATAATTCGGGGTGGTATGATTCTTTATTAATTTCAATTAAATAATTATAAGATATGAAACAACGGTCATGGTGCTATTTAAAAAATCGTACCCTGTGAAATTTCATATGAAATAGTTAATAAATTTCTAATCTGAAATACTGCTAGCAAAAATAAAGCAGCATATCAGAGGACAGAAACTTCATACCTTATGACTATTTTATGTAATGTGTATTTAGTTGCAGCATAATTGTAAGAATTTATCTAACATATTGCCGATATGTTTATTAATAAAGCATGGGAACAAGAACCGAGCTTTAGATTATCTTGGGCACATATTTATCCACGATTTGTTGATCTTAAATCTAATGTGCCTAAGGACCATTTTATAAAATATAATCCTTTAAACACTTAAAAAAGGAGAAAAATACCAATAGGCGAGTATTTTGAGGTGTCTAGTTTTATAACAATTGTGAGGTTAAAACTTGATAAAATAAAAAATGGGTAGGCCAAGGGAAAACGACTCGGGACTTTGAAGTTTATTACTGAACAAACTCAGCTAAGCAAATTTATCAATAATTGAGTCTGATAAAAATATACTTAAAAACCCAGAGTCGGGTTTTCCCTCAGCGTCAAATTATATAGTTTATTAATGTAATCGTACCTGTAGGCGATTTTTTGATTTCATTGCATATTTTCACAAGGATAGCTAAAACATCTTTAAGATTTGGTCTTTTATTCGGAGCAGTTTCCCAACAATTTTTATAAAGTTTATGATAATCTCT